GCCAAACCAGAGAGGGGTGTCACCTTATACGGCGGCGCCAGACCAGAGAGGGGTGTCACCTTATACGGCGCCGCCAGACCAGAGAGGGGTGTCACCTTATACGGCGCCGCCAGGCCAAGGCGGAGCGAAGAGGGGTGTCACCTTATATGGTGCTGCCAGACCAGAGAGATGTTACCTTATACGGTGCCACCTGACCAAGGCGAAGCGGACAGGAGTGTAAACTTATACGACACCCCATTCCCCCCCAATGGAGTTCCAAGGTGGAGCAGAGAGGGGTGTCACCTTATACGGCGCTGCCAGACCAAGGCGGAGTGGAGAGGGGTGTCTTAAACGGTATGGCCAGGGAAACATTTTTGTTGTTTTCTGCAACTCTGAGCAGGGAAAGTGGTTAGAATGTGGATGGATGCATGCATGCATAAAATGGAGAAGAAATTGTTTGTATTTTTGATTCATTTAAAATGTCTATATTTAAGCTCCTGTAGGAAAAATTGTGATTTAAAATAATCTCAAAACTCTGGTGTCATTTTTCCAGCACATAAGACAAGCAGCAAAGGATTTAAGCGAAGTTCACATCCTCAAAGGATCACACATAACAGATAGCTCTGAGAGATCAGACATGGGCCAGACGTGCTAGCTAGGAGTGAAGCAGACATTTCACTGTGTAATGGAGATGGAAAGCTTATTGTACATACTCTGATGGAGCACTGCCTCGGCAAGCCTCGGTTTATGAAGGTTCCAGAATTGCTTAATTGAATGCTGGTCAAGCTGGTTTAGATCTGCTTTGTTATTGCTCTCACTGAAAAGCTGCCATTTTTAGTGTATTTTTTAAACACAGGCTATATTCATTATCACCCTGTTGCACAAAGCAATTATGCATTCACCTTACTGCTAATGAATGCAGTTCTCAGGGACAAAAAAGTACTGATGTTCCTCTCTTCATAGCAGTAATCAGGATTTGTGAAGCCATTTTATCACTGTGCATATTCTGAATGTCCTGCTATACAGATAGGGGGTCTACAGTGTCAAATTATATACAATATGCAGGGCTGGATGATCTCTTACAGTACATTAGCTAAAAGGAATAATTGCATCCAGAAAATAGTGGAAGCTGAATTAAACTGTCTCTAACTCACTTTCTGTCACATGTAACCTAGAACTCCGAGTGGAAAAGTTAGTCTCACAAGCTGTAAACGGACACAAAGGGGAACCGCAAAGATATTGCAATACAGTACATACGCCACTGATGTAAGTCACCCAACAAGAAATATATTTACGTGTCATCTGGGTTCCTACACAGTATTGAAAAGAATGGCATTTGATTTTTGTTTTTGTTATTATGGATACGTATGCAAAAAGGAACAAAAGTATGGAAATATTTAAATATTTCTTGACTATTGCAACATTGTCTCCTACTATATATTTTAAAAAAAGACATCTGTATTTGTCATGGACCTGGACAGGTTTGGTGCTGGAACGTGGCATGACACAGGCACAAAAAAGGTGGACGACCCACTGGCAGCTCCGAGAACAACAAACAGGGTTTATTTAACTGAACTAAAAACACAAGAAAGTACTAACAAAAACAAAGGACCACAGGGGGTCAAAAGTAAACAAAGACTACTACAAAAACTGGGCAGGTAACATCTAACACAGGGAATAATAATCAAGCACAAACAACAGAACCTTCACAATAAAACATCTACCATCTAGCAACAACAATGAACCACTGGGGAACTGAACAGAAGGAGGAACTAAAATACTAAGGGGTAACGAGACTAACACAGGACAGGTGAGGCTAATTAACAAAGACCAGGAAAACGGGGCACAGATGAAACTAATGAACTCAAAGGAACTAAAAACAGGGAAACTAAGAACTAACCAAGGAAACATAAACTAACACTGGGGAATTACAGACAGGTAAAGACACAAGCAGGGGCACAAGGAACAAAACCAAAAACCAAATACAAAACACCAGATACAAGAACTACTCAAGTGAAAAACTCAAATGAAACACTAGGGAGCAAAATACAAAAACAGAGGAGGCAGGATTCAAACACAGGACAAGGATCACAAGCAATCACATGCTCAACGCATTGAGCCATGTGGCCAGACAGGAAACAGGGGAGAACAAAGACAAACATGAAGGACGGGATGACCAGCGACACCTGCTGGCCAAACGGGGAAGGGACACGGAGTGGGACAACAGGGGCTGACCCAGACATGTATTTACTTGTTAAAAATTTTATTGAAGTCACCCATGTGAGCTGGTTGTCAGCACCAGAATGTGCACAGAGTGAACACTGAAGAGCAATGTCCCAAGCCAAGGAGTGGGGGCCTGATTAATCTCCAGCAAGAAATAGCAGTGCAGGCTACCTTGCAATTTGCTGTATGACTCTCACAGTGGGGGAATGCTAGTGTTTACCTGCTTGGCTTGCCGATCCTGAATGTTGTAACTGGTTGGCTAAGGATCCCAAATGTCAACGGAAAGCAAAATGCAGTGTGAGTGAAGCTGTTTGACATTTTGAACACGGATGAATTGTTAGCTATTGCTGTCTGGTCGCAGTCAATGATGGATCCTGGCAAGTGGCAGGGATGGCACCTTCTGAGGGGGCGCTGGCATAGCAAACTACTCCTTATTTATTTATTTTTTATAATTCTTAGATATTACTATTGTTTCATGTACAGTACTGTGCAAAAGTCTTATGCAGTCAAAGATATTATCCGGCTGTCCAGGGGCCGCCTGGATCGGCATTTTCTGTCTACAGAGCAGTGGAATGTAGAGGCTCTGATACAGAGATGCTCACCAGATTAATGGTGTGGGAGCTGGAGTGAGAAGCAGGACACAGCTGTGAGCCGACCTACCAGGCCACTCCAGTCGCTCTCTATGATCTCTATGAGTGTGCCAACATTCCCAGCCGCTCTCCCTGGACTCAGTCTGCCTCTGATTGGCTTACATCAGTCGCTGGGTGGGGGGTAGACGACACAATAATCTATGACATATAAGAGACTGATGATACAGTACTTGTGTATATGATACGGCCAAAAACAGTTGTTGCTTTCAGTATCTAGTAATACCTTTACTGATAAAATTTAATTAACACTAAAAGAATAACCAGAATCTTCTCAAAGTTTGTGGTGCAGAGAGACTCATACACTTGATGGGGGATTTTACCTTGGTTCAGCAAAAAAATGAAGTGTTAAAAAATGCAATGCATGAGCTCGACAGCAGGATGTGTGAAGGACAGCTAGCTATCACCATCGAGCTAAAGATAGCAACTTACTCTGCCACAGTAAGGGCAAATCAAGCAATTCGCACACTAAACTGTGGTCTGGCAAGCAGCCCAGTGGATGGGAGAGCTTACACATCTGGAAATTCAATACATGTGTAAAGGTTTCATTTTGCAAATTAGGAGTGAGAACTATAAAGATGGCTGCTTCTAAATTCAATTTAAATTTCCAGACCCCATTTTTTAAGCATATTTATAGTGTCTCATGCTTGCAAGTATGTACCAGCTATGTGTGAAATGTTGCAACCTTATGGGAGAAGTTAAAATGCCCAGACTGTAGCCATACATTGTGAGTAGCAAATGGCTGGCACCACCTTCAAATGATTTGGATTATTGAGCAATTAAGTAGTTCAGAAAACCCGTTATCGGCTATGTGTGTTCTCATTGTGGTTCTCTTGGTGTATATTTGTACAATAAGCTGCTTTATCCCAAGTCATCTGAAACTTGTCGGTTTAGCCAGTTATAGCTGTCTGTATATGCAGTACCCATGGAACGGTATTGATTCAAAATTAATTGTCCCTGTGATGGTTTGGCATAGTACTGCACTACTGCAAGATAAAGGACGCATCTCAATCATATACCCAGTTACAAGTAATCATTTGATGGGCCAATACTCTTATACAAAAACATTTTTTAACCCTTTTATTTGGTTGATATTTATACAGTCTAGTCACAGAACTTTTAGTTTTAAAGATTTTTTACAATGAAATGAGGCCAAAGTGAAGGCTTGTAACATGAAGGTTTTTTGTATGTAATCCCAGGAGAAGCTGTTACCCTGAAATGTTGGAGCATAAATGGTTAAATGATGTGTAACTTAGGATAGAACAGTGGCTGTATGCTGACACTCTGCCCCCTCTGTTTAGCCAGGGCTACCACCTGCAAGCTGTCCGAGACATGCGGCCTCACCCCAACGTCACCCTGGACCCCGCCACCACATTTAACCCCCCCCAATTCCGTTCACGAAACCAGAGCTACATGCGGGCCGTCAGCACGCTCAGTCAGGCAAGCTGCATCAGCCAGGTGAGTGGGAGGGGCGGGGAAAGGAGGGGCGGGGAGAGGAGG